AGAGCTTGATCTGTTCATGGCAGCATAAGCCTGGTGAGGTTGCTTTCAGATTTTCTCTTGGGCTCCCTACCCCTGCTGCTGCATCAATATGTGCTTGTGCTGCACAGGCTGGTTCCACAGCAGGCTTTTACACCTACAGCCACGCTGTCAGAAATGGCAGCAGCGCAACGAGCTAGCAAAATATTCACAGCTCTCAGGGTGAAGAGCCCACAGCACGGAAGAGGAGCTGAACTGCTTTGAATCTGCTTTTGCCTTCTTCCTCCTGGCAAAACACCTCAGCAGCAGTCTGTTCAAACTTCAGGCCACTTTAGGCAACACTGGCTAGAGAAATGCTGGGCTCAGCGTAATTCACAGGAGAGCTACTACAGTGGGAGGAAAGTTAAGCCAACAGAGATTTGTTGAAGCAGCTGCTTCTCCAATCATGTAATGTCAACTTGGAACTGGCAGCTCCAACCCTAAAATTAATTTTACCTCCTAGAAGAGAATTCTTTTTCCTTCCAATTTACCTAATCTCCAGGAATATCAGCTGCGTCTGGGGGCTGGAGACCCAAAAACCTGATTCTGTATTAAATTCCACTTTACAGACTTTCTAGCGAATTATCAAAAGGAATGCAGCTGCTCCAGGCTCAGTGGGGAGGTACCCTGCCAAGGGAGCTGAGGTCCATTTTCACCCAGCAGCCCAGTTGCTGAAGGTAAGAAACAGCAGAGAGGAGTTGACTCAGGGAGAAAAGTCTCACCTTTCCTCAAAGGGCAGAGACAGTCACATCTAGGAGTGACCTCAAGAATGGGAAGATGCAAGACTGTATGCTCCATTCCAGATTTTGCATCCTACAAAGCGACACAAAGGACATTGCCTGTGAAAATTAATGGAGGCTGTAGCCAAGCTTATCCGGAATTAAATCTGAAGTAAAATAGCACTGCAATGGAATGAAATATTAAGTATTTTACTACAGGGTAGTCTATCTCAAACACTGGGATGAGGAGATATAAAAGCAAAACCTCACAAAAAGTTATCACACCAGTAACTACAAAACCAAAAGCATTTGCCCTCATGAGTCCAAATAACGAGTGCACTTAAATGTATGCCTTTCTTCGCCTGCTGTTTGGCAAAATCCCTTGAATATGTTCAAGCACAAGACACATAACTATCAGTGCAGTAAGTCTATCTGTCTTGTCCATCTGAGGGTCTTAAAACACTAGGATATGTTAAGTGTCACCATAATCAGCTTATAACTTTGTGACAACTAACAACCAATGAACACATCTGTACTCCTAGTTTACGGATAATGAGAAGAGGAAGTCATTAAAAAGACTTTAACTTAAAACACAATAAACAACCACTTATATAAAGTTGCTTGTATTTAAGACAGCCTATAATCGATTTCTACACAACAAAACAGCTGGAAGAGCTATTTCACCTCAGAAAACTAACTCATATTTTGGTCAGAACACAAACCCACAGTCCCAGGCTAACTGGCCTGCTCATCCCCGATGCAGGCCGTCACCTTCTGGAGCCATTTTGAAACACACGGGACGGCCAAGCCTGAGGAGAAACTTTCGTACTGGCTCACTTTGCTGCAGTTGCGGGATCTGTGCACCTTGCTATGGTTACAAACCCGCCCCGGTGCCTCTCACTGAGAAGTCCGACACATAGCAGCCGAGCCGGAAACCCTGAGAAGCAGAGGCCTCCGGCTTTCGTTTAAAAAAACCAAAAACAAACAAACAAACAAAC